AGTTAGACATAGTATTTTCTCACCACAATTGTAATCTCTTGTGTTTGTGGCTGTGTCTTTCTTATTCCTTGTTCCATCTGCTTTTGCTTTTGTTTGAAATTTTCTTTGTCAGAATCATGAGATAGTTCATCTATTTTATTAATGTTTCAAAGGACAAGCTTTTGAAATCATTTGTCTCTTCTTTTCCCCCATTTTAAAATATTTTAAAATTTCCTTAACTGTTGTTTAATTTTGCTGTTCATCTTTCAGTTTTGAGATGAAAAATTACTTTTTAAACCAGTTATTTCTTTCAATAATGAAGACAATTAAGGCTATAAATTTTCCTCTAAAGATAGCTTTTGATTTGTTCTGCAGGTTTTATTATGGATGACGTATTCCCTTTCATTGACCTCTGTACAGGTTTTAATTTCCCTTTTAATTTCCTTTCTGATCGAAGAATATTTAGAAGCATGCTCCTTCATTGTTGTCACATCATTAAGATTTTTTGTTATCAATCATTTATCTCTAGTTTTATTAGCTTATTATGAAAGAACGTAGTTTATAAAAGCTGTTCACTTACACACTTCTCTGTTTTTCTTTTTCCCCAGTGACCACATATATGAACAACTTTTAAAATTATTCTAGGAGTATTTTTAAAAGTACTTTCAAAGGATAAGATGTAATTCATACCAAGTTGTTTATTAATTGTATTTTTTATTTTCTCTGTTTTCTATTTTTTCACTAGATCTTTCAGTTCTGAGAGAAGGATGTTGATGTTTTCATCATAATTATATTTTTAGCAAGTTCTCCTTGCATTTCAAATAAAATTGCTTTAAGCTTTGAGCTGCTACAGTGATTGACTCACATCAGTTATGATGGCTGCATCATCTCCAATTGTGCTGTTTTTCACTGTATCATGTCCCTTTGGTGCCTGTCTGGTTCTACCACTCTTAAATTGTACTTTGCTGATATTGTCACTTTTGTTGCCCTTTTGTGGCCATTTTTCTGGTATCTTTTTGCTCATTCCATTTATATTTATGTTATTTTAAATTTAATTTCAGTATTTCTTATATATAACATCCAACTGTGTTTTGTTTTACAAAGAAATGGGTTGCCTTTATCTTTTAATGATGAAATCTTATTCTTTTACCTTTTATATGGTTACTGATACACTTGTTATATGACTTTTATCTTATTTTAGATTTACCTTTGGACATATAGCTGTTTCTTCTTTTTCTGTGTTTTACTTGAGCAGTTTATTCTTTTTCTCTCTTTGCCAGCTTGGGAAAGCCTACTTTTTTCTCCCTTGTTATTGATGGTTAATTTTTATTTTCTTGATCTAAATGATCAGATACCAGTATCTACTATCCTTTAAAAAGGAGATTTCTCCCTCCTCCTCAGAAAAAAAATCAGCAGTTTTCTTTCTACTTTGCTTCATTCCAATAAAATGAAATTTTAAAAAGATACTTCCACTCTTCTTCCTTCCTTTTGTAATTCCTCTAAAGAGATGCTGAAATGTTTTTGCTATTTCCCTGGTAACCATTTCTCCTAGGCTTGACAGATGAGATCTAGTATTTATTAACTTTCTAAAAAATTAATGTTTTCTTAATTTTATTTCTTTATTTTCTTAATTATTATCATTAATTTCTGATAGTACCCATTGCAATATAACCTATTCTTATTAAATTATGAACATTGTTCATGTTTACCTATATAGCTGAATATATATGAGCTTGTATAAATATTTCATACAAATATATACACACATATGTATGTGCAGCTTGTGTATACATAATCATTGCTCGCTCATCTTTTCGGGTTTCTGAATTTTTTCACTTGTCTTTGGGATAGAGTCTTTTTAGCACTTTTCTCAGTTGGCGTATTTCAGTTTTATTCTTTCCAAATTATTTTCTCTCCTCAAGTAGCTTTTGTTTACCCTGACAGATAAATGATATGTTGGCTGGATATAAGTTGATGCTGTTCCATTGTCCATTTCCTTCCACTGTTGGTGGTATTATTTTACAGTGAATTCCCTTTTTCTGACTTTCAATGTTCTTTTTCTTTAGAAATCAGGAATTTTTTCATGATGTACATATGGTTGTGTCTTTTTTTTAAATCCAACTTGAATCTTAGTGAACATTTAAAATGTGCTACTTCAGGTTTTCATTATCTCTGGGAATTATTCTTCTAGCATTTATTGTTGGTTTTTCTCTATGCATTCCTCTTTGTTCTTCTGCAACTACTATTACTCACATTTTAGGCCACTGATTCCATTCTGTGGATCTCTCATGACATCTGTCTCTTGGTAGATGCCGTCTGCTTGAGAAGTTCTCAGATTGACCTTCCAAGTCTGCTGATGTGAATCTTAGCAGCTCCATTTTCTCTTTGAATGAATCTACTGCATAAGATATACTCAAATCTCCTTTAAAGTACCTTTAATTTATTTTCTAATTCAGGTTGTTTTTTTTTTTTTTTTTTTTTTTTTTTTTTTCTGCTCTAATAATTCCATTTTGCTGAGTGTAAGTCCTGACAGTTCCACTTGATCTTCTCTCTGGCTAATGGATTCCCGTAGTTTGCTTGTTATTTTCCTTTGATGGCTCCTTGGAATTCTAGCGTGGTGGCTAGAGTATCCTAGCAGGGATCCTACAGTCATGGAAAGCACAGGCGCCTCTATCCCCCTGAGCTGCAGTGTAGAATCAGGCAGGCTGGCACCTGCTGCCTCTCTTATCTCCCCATAGTCTCTCTCCCCTAAGGAAGGAAATACTCAGCTTACCTGTTCATCTCCCACTTGGCGTTTTGGGAATTTGGCACGTTCATACTGAATTTACATCAGTACTCCCTTAAGGGACCCCAGATCTTTGTATGCTCAGTCTTTCCCCAGAATTTTCTGTTTTTAGGTTCTTAACTAAGCTATGATGCTGTTTATCATTTTACTTGTTCATATTATGAGGTCAAGAGATCCACACAATTCTCTATGCCCAGAACCCCAGCAGAAGCCAGAGCCTCACTGCATTCATTTGCTATTTGTCTTAGGAGAGGCAGATTGATTAGAGTTGGTAGCAGCAATCAAGGGCACCATGCTCAGAATGCCATGTTCCTGTACTTCTTCCCAGTGGGTTTGAATGACAGGTACAACCAGACATTTTAGGCATAGGAGCCATTTGTGCTAGCCAGTTCTTTTCAAATTTCAATGTGCATATGGTTCCCTTGTGGATCTTATTAAAATACAAATGCTCCTTCAGTAGGTCTAAGATAGGGCCTTCAATTCTCCATTTCTAGCACTTTCAGGGAGGCCCTATGGGCCCACCAACTACACTTTCAGTAGCAAGGTGTTAGAAAGATGAACCAGATGGCCTTTATTTGACTAGTCAAGGCAGATGATAGTATTAGAAATGTAAACAAAAAAGAGTATAGTATAGCAAATTGAGATCAGCAGAATCTGATTATTAACAGTAATGTTAGGCAAAACATTAGGGTCTAGTAGAGCAGTGCAAAACTTAATAAGCCTCCAGAAATTTTATAACAATTTTTCATAAATGCATTGGTTATTTCCCCAATCTCTTTGTTTTATCCTCTTTTTGAACAAAGTTTGCTCCTTTTAATCTGTTATAGAGGGTTTCTTGGATTAAACAAGAAAAATAGGTAAGTCTCATGGTGGAGTTACATGATACATGACATTTCAAGACTCTCTCGTTATTCATTTACTTATTTATTCAGTAAATATTTATTGAGCATCTCTTATGTGCTAGACCTTACTCTAAGTGTTAGAACAACGTTCAACTAGATTGCCTGTGCAATGGATCTTTGTCTGTTTTTAACTGATTCATTGATTTGTGATTTAGTATTCATCCTCCTGCTTCTTAAATGTAACCCAATTTTCTTTTGGAAAATTATCTTTTTGTCCAGTTTGTTATAGTCACGCCATGATGTTAAGCATTGTGTCCTGTCCTCCTACAAAAGACTTCAAGTACTCTCTGAAGGCTTTTTCTCTACATCAGTATTTTACAAATTTGGCTAATCATTAAATCACTTTGGGGGTTTAAAAAATACCAAACGCTTTGGTTCTACCTCCAGATAGTCTGATTTAATTAACCTGTGGTGTGGCCTAAATATCAGGTTTTTTTTAGAGCCCCTAACAAGTGATTTTAATGTGCAGCCACAGTTAGACAGCCAGTTCCCTAGATCTCTACTCTCATTGATCCAATACAGTCAAGCAGTGAGGCTGTGACCTCAACTTGGCTAGCTGGACTCTCTACCTGAACTTTGAATCCAAAGAGCAAATGGAAGAACATTCTGTAGCAGCCGTCAAACAACACTGCACAGCAATGTCTGCTCTGTACTCTCTCCATATCTGTTGTTCCAATCCTTTGAGCTTCCCATACCTTATCAATAAATACCATTTTTGCTGGGTATATTAATCTGGATTCTCCGGACAGAACCAAGAGAATACACTGATGCAGACATAGAAATATAAGTATGAGAGAGAATTTATTAGGGAATTGGCTCATGGCATTAGGGTGGCTGAGAAGTCCCACAGCAGGCCATCAGCAAGTTGGAGACCCTGGGATGCCAGTGGCATGGCTCAGTCCAAGTCCAAAGACCTCAGAACCAGGAAAGCTGATGGTATAACTCAGTCTGAGGCCAAAGGCCTGATAACGTGCTGGGGGACTGATGTAAATCTTGGAGTCCAAAGGCTAGGCAGCCTGGAATTGTGTAAGGACAGGAGAGGAAGAGTGCAACCCAGCTCCAGCAGATAGATGGACACATTTGTCTTTTCTCTGTTTTCGTTCTCTTGGGGCCTCCATCAGATTGGAGGGTACCTGCCCACACTGAGGGTGGATCTTCTCTACCTACTCCGCTCAGATAAATGTGCCAGTCTCTCCTGGAAACACCCTCACAGAAACACCTCCAGATAATTCTTTAACAGGTTTCTAGGTATTCCTTAATCCAGTCAAGCTGACATCTAAAATTAACTGTCACACTGGGATCAGCTGGGAAGAGTCATTTTTTGTTTCTTATAGCCAATGAATCTCAACTGAGCAAACTGCGGAGCTTTGTGTCACTCTAAATATCTGTTGAGGGCTCTCGATCTGCTGGATCAATCACAGTCTCGGCCCTCGGTATCAAACTCCTCACCACACATAGGAAAACTCGAGTCAGAGGGCAAGAGAGCCACCCCAAGCTCCATTACAGGTCAGTGACTGAGAATTCTCATTGTGCCTGCATGTCTGTTTCTTTGCTTGTTTATTCATTACCATACCAAAAAAAAAAAAAAAAAAAAAAAAGAAATCTTCTTTCTGGTGATTTGTTTTTAGGAAAAATTTAAAGATGACTGAAAGGGTGCGGCAAAATTGAATAGACAACTCAGAATGCATGTGACTAAGCAGAAAAGCTGGAAAACATTCTACATTACCAAACAAGATCACAAGCATCTGCTCACAGCAGAAATATGCAGAACTCCCAGTCTCTTTACACGTTTGCATGGAGACCAAAGTGAAAATGAGATGGAAAAGATGTAGACTATCACAACTTGCTATCTGGCATTTACTGTCTCTCCTACACACTCACTTAAGGTTTCTGGTCAGCTTTCCTAGAAGCACTTGATTTATCGAAGGCAGGGTCTCAGGACAAACCTGCAGGGGCAGAGAAGGGCAGAGGAACGAGTTGAATAAGGAAGTGGTCCCAGCTGGAGTCTAGCCTCAGTCTGATCACAAGGGGAGCTCTGGAGTGTGACTGAAACCACACAGTTGAAGCAAGATGGCTGGCCTTTTGTAGCCCGTATCAATTATTCATTGGCACTCTCTCAGGCATTTCCACAACAGGCATATTTGCTGGAGAAGGAGGCAACCATTAGTTCTTAGCAGCCAATACTTGCAGTAGTTGAGAGATGGGCATACCTGCTGGTGAAGGTGATCCAACAGCAACTTCTATACCTGAATAAATACGGTCACTCGCACTACTCCTCAGTATTTTCATCTATAAAATGCAACAAAAGGCTGGGTGCAGTGGCTCATGCCTGCAATCCCAGCACTTTGGGAGGCCAAGACAGGTGGATCACCTGAGATCAGGAGTTTGAGACCAGCCTGACTAACATGGTGAAACCCGGTCTCTACTAAAAATACAAAAATTAGCCAGGCATGGTGGCAGGCGCCTGTAATCTCAGCTACTCAGGAGGCTGAGGCACAAGGGTCACTTGAACCAGGGAGGTGGAGTTTGCAGTGAGCTGAGATCGTGTCACTGCACTCCAGCCTGCATATGTCAGAAAAATGCCACTTTCGTGCACTCACTACTGCTTGAAAATCACCTTTTTCTTGAAACTTTTATTTTATGCAAAGTCTTGGAAAGGAATACTACCTTGAATGCTTCAGTGGATGCCTATTTAACAAAAGGGGTATTTATTGATAAGCTGAGAGTTGAGTGATCTGGATTCTAGTTCTGCTTGTGTTACTCTTTAGCAAAGTGGCTTTGGGTAAGTGGTTTATGCTTTCTGGGATTCACCATCTTTATTTACAAGAGTTGGGGGTTGGAGTAAATTCTTTGAGTTACTTTTGAATTCTAAAATCTTGTTAGGTGCTGATTCGATTTCTCCTTCAGGGCAGGGAGGAGGCAGAGATAATTGTTGTTTGTTTGCAAGGAACAAGTTTTCATCTTGCAGCCTTAATACAAAAGCAAGAGAAAGAAATGTAATAGCTCGGAGGTAGCAGCAGCGTAGCTTTGTTTGGATTCGGGGTCTCTGATACGACATATTGGATGTGTCAATGGAATGTGATTTATTTTGCTTCATAACATTTGGGAACAGATATTTGGTATTTCATCCAAGGAAAGCAATTTGCAGAAACCTTTTAGAAGGTGGCTGGAGCATCAGTAATCGGTGCCATTTCTTTAGGCCAACGTTTCCTTAAAGCTGCACAATCTTTCATTTTAATCATCCCTCTCAGCAGGCTCCTTTTAGGGCTCTGGAGCAGGGCGCCCACCCCTCAGAAATGAGGTTCTATTTTTAAAGTCCACCAGCCAACAAACCCCCTATTAATCGTGTGAAATCTGCTCAGATGGCTGCTCTTCCGGGTTCTCCACCTCCTCCCCCTACTCTCTCTCTGCACAGCCTCCCCTGGAAGATATTTTTAGCTCTTAGCAGCTACATCCTTAAGAATTTCTAGGCCTGTGCTACACTTTGTGCTCAAGTAAACATTTTAGAGATTCCAGTTTTTATTCCTAATATTTTTGAAAAGATTAAGAATGCCACTCCTTAATACAACTCAGTATTAATCAATAATCAGTCTGAACTTCAAAGTCTTCATCTATCTCAGAATCCCTCTTTCTTACAAAGAGATAAATACCTTATTTATTCAAAGTTACTTAGTCTTTTCCTTATAAGGATCAAGTGTGACTTTGACCCATTGTTCAAGACAATCTCTCTCCAAGGCAGCCTTGGAATTATTTTGGGGGTGGGAAAATCTGGGCTCTCCCTCTGCACACATTTTGCCTAAGAGTTCAATTCTGAATCAGGAAATACAGATATCTCGTTAAGAGCACTGTACTAAAACATATCAGTTCTAGTTTAAGAACCCATTATGGTATCCTGGGAAGGAAAAAGCATCAAAATATTTTCAAAGCACCTATAGGAATTCAAATAAATAACATACATATAGTAAGAATTTGGCTTTGCAAATATGATCAGCAGTATTTAATCACCCATTTTTCACAGCCAAAATCATATTGTTTAGCATGTTATTAGTGGTTTTGATTTGTGGGTTGCAGTCTTTTTAAATGCTTATGAATAGGTAATAGAAGTATATGGGAAAATACGAATTCCAGGAAAACAGCAAACAGTGAAAAGGATCTTCCTCCCACATCTGCTTTCTAATTTCTCAAAATACACGTGTATGTGTGTGTGTCTCTATACATATAGAATATTATATTATACATATATGACACACATTTGCACATACAGATATTTTATATATGCACATATTTAAAGTGATTCTTGGTTGCTATGCCACAAATGTTTTGCATATTGCTTTTTATAATTTTATTTTTTCATTAAACATTGTATCTTGGAGCATATTTCATATCAAACCATAAAGATCTGTCTCTTTTTTGATATCATGTTTCATTGTTCGGAGGAATGAGAATTTATTTAGCAAATCCTGATAATTGGCTTCTAATTAGGAAGGGATACTGAGAGAATGAGGAGCTCTTGTTCTGTGCAGAATATTGGGCTAATTAACTCTGGTTACTTAGTGGCTATTTTGTGAGTTACTATGAATCCTAATTTTGATTCAACGGTAGCCTCTTACTTTTCCCTTGCTCTTTCTACTCCCTTTTTCTCAAAACCTTCAGCAAACCCAGGTGATTCCTGCCTAGTGATATTGGTAAACACACACACACACACACACACACACACACACACACCCCAAAAACTAAAAACACAGTTTGAATGCCTTTCAAAGGTGAGTTCTCCATAAATAAATAAGTTTCCAAATGAAATATCATGATGGTGTGGCTAAGGTGTGCTTGTTCCCCTTGTTTATGTTTTCCAGAGCCTGTTTTCAACTGGTACAAAAATCTCCCATTTGTTCTTCTTGTTCAGAGCCTGTGGTTTATTTTCTCTTGTCGGGACACTGTTCCATGAACCCCAGGAGAGATGCGTCATCACAGAAACCTTGGCATTTGTCAAACAATGAGCAGCGTGAGGTGATGGAGCCAGGCACCCAGCAGGGACCCAGTAGAGGCTGCACGAGCTGGCTGGCAGGTGGCCCTGATGACTTTGGGAGTGGGGAATCTGCATTGACTGCCTGTTCATCTCCTGTCTGAGGATGAAGTGGGAGGACTCTTCAACGAAAAAGCATGGCTAACTCCAAAGTCACATTTTCCAAAGCAGCCTTGCCATTCACTTACATTTACCTGCTTTGGCTTATAGAAAAAAACAAGGCTTCATCTTTGATCCTATGTTCCTCAATGCATTGTAGTTTTTGAGTCTTATCTGAACTGACGTCTAGACTGACACATTTTGGGGAAGAGCATCCCTAACATGCTGACAGATGGCTGGCACACCTGTTTACCTGAGTCTTGGTTCAAAAAACAATACAGCATTTTGCTCGTTCAAGATTTCCGTGTAAAAATTTACACATTTTCTAGAGACTATGCAGAAAATCAAAACTCCTATAAATGTAAAGTGGCATAATTTGAAAACAATGTATTCATATTGATTGATTAAATTATATAGACTATGGAGTGTTATTTTCTTTAATACTTTTTTTTTCTTCTTTTTAGAGACAGGGTCTTGCTATGTTGCCGAGGCTAGTCTCAAACTCCCGAGTTCAAGCAATCCTCCACCTCGGCCTCCCAGAATGTTGGGATTACAGGGCATGAGCCACTGTGCTCAGCCTTTTTTCATATTTTTAAAATGACAACTGTTTTAGGTTAAGTTCGTAGAATTCGAAATGTGGATTTTTGTAGAGATGTACTGAGAGAGGCTTTTCAGGAGGACCCTGTGTGGGAGTGAAGGAAGCAGGATGGGGCAGGGGAGGAAGCCTGGAAAGGACATAGGCTCATATGGAATCTGGTTTCAGCCTGATCCCACTAAAAATTCTGGAACTTAAAGTGTACTGCATAGTTGATCCCCCTGAGATCAGGGCCTGGTCTTTACTACCCTTTTAGTGGTTGGTCATCACTGGACCCTGGGGAGAGAGGAAAACTTCAAGGTTTTTCCAGGGGCGGGGCTCTTTAGAGAATAATTCTCCTGAGGAGAGAGTATTTTCAAACTGTTAGCAGCCAACACCCAAAGCAACTAGGAGATGGCTGCACCAGCCTCGTCTGTGAAATCTGGGAGGGACCCTCAGCATCACTTCAACCCACAACCTAAAGCTAAGTACTTTGCATTATGACCTACACATCCAGAGCTACATTTTAAAGAAAGTATTTTTAAAGAAAGTATTCCCAAATAATGTTTATTGGTCCACTTGTTGTTCAATTTGAATGATTTATATGCTATTCTAGTGTATCCAGATTCACACATACAAAACAGTAGTCATGGTCCACTATTAGGTGGTGACCTGCAGTTACAAAATGTTGATTTATGTTTAAATACTGCTTAAAAGCTAATCATGTTTAAGTGATTTAATTAGATTTTTAATCCTACTGGATTTTCAGTGATACCTCCAATGTTGCATAACTGGAGTGACCATATAATCGATCGTCCAAACTGGGATGCTTTTATTTACAATGATGCCAGGGCAAGAGGCATTCACCAGAGCTGTCCTGGGAAAACCAGGATGCAGAGGCATGTGACAGCAAGCCACTAGAGGGATTTGTCGGTAAACCTCTATGGAGCAGTTATTGTGCACATAGAGATGGTGGAAGATGTGACACAAATGAAAAGTCTCTGTCATTGGGGAAACAGATACGAGTCAAATACAATCACATAAACAGGAAAACAGCAACTATGATAAGTGCTACAAAGGAGATGTGTGTTTTCAAAAGAGAGATTTCACAAAAGTAGAGAAAGCTTCCCAGAGCAAGCAATACTTGAGCCCCAATGAGAGCCAAAGGATCTAACCAGATAAAAGGCATAGGAAGGGCCATTTTAGTCTGAAGCAGGGTGAGCATGAGAGAATGAAAGATGTGCTCTTTCATTTATTTCATCTATGTTAAAAAAATTAATATCAATGTTCTAGAAGCTGGAGTACATCAGGGAACGTTACAGAGTGATGAGTTTCCTTTCCTCACAGAGCTTATATTCTGCATTGTGTACATAGAGGTGGTCAACAGGTAGTAAAACAGAAAATAAATAGCATAATGTTACATAGTGACAATTGTCACAAAGAAAATAAATTGGGTCATATTTGTGGAAGAAACTATCATTTCCCTGTTATGTAGTCTTAGCACCCTTGTTAAAGTTCATTTGACCATATACATAAGAGTTTATTTCTATGCTCATTATTCTGTTTTGTTGATCTCCATGTATTTAGACCAGTGCTATAATGTTTTGATTACTATAGCTTTGTAATACATTTTGAAGTCAGAGAGTATAAGGCCTCCAGCTTCATTTTTCTTTTTCAGATTGCTTTGGCTATGCAAGGCAAGTTTTGAGATCCCATATATATTCCAGGATGGATTTTTTTTCCTATTTATGCAAAAATCATGGAATTTTGATGGAGATTTAGATAAGATTTACATTGAATCTGTAGGTAGTATGAACTTTTAATAATATTAAGTTGCTTTGGGAGGTATGCATATTTTAATTCTAATAAGTCTTTTACTCCATGAACATGGGATGTATTTCCATTTGTTTGTATCTTTAATTTCTTTTAGTAATGTTTTGTAGTTTTCTGTGTACAAGTCTGTAGCCTTTTGGTTAATTTTGGTCCTAAATGTTTTATTCCTTTTGCTGTTATTGTTAATGAAATTGTTACCTTAATTTCCTTTTTGGATTGTTCATTGTTGATATATAGAAATGCAACTGATTTTTGTATATTGACCTTGTATCCTGCAATTTTGCTACATTTATTAGTTCTAATTGTGTGTGGGTGTGTATAATCCTTAGAGTTTTCTAACTATAAGCTTATGTCATCTGTGAGCAGAGCTAAATTTGCTTCTTCCTTTCCAATTGGGATGCTTTCCATTTCTTTTTCTTACCTAGTTGCTCTGTCTAGAACTTTCAGTATTATGCTGAATAAAAGCTGTGAGAGTGGACAACCTTGTTTTATTCATCTTGGAGTGAAACATTTTACTGTATCACCATAGAGTATAATGTTAGCTGTGGGATTTTCATATATGGCCTTTATTATGTTGAAGTAACTTTTTTCTTCTCCTGATTTTTTGAGTGTTTTTATCATGAAAGGGCATTGAATTTTGTCAAATACTTTTTTTGTATCAATTGAGATAATTGTGTGGGTTTTGACCTTTGTTCTGTTAATGTAGTATATTACATTGATCAATTTTTACATGTTGGAACATCCTTGCATTCCAGGAATAAAAAATTCCACATGATTATGGCGTGTGGTCCTTTTAATGTGTTGTCAAGTTTGGTTTGCTAGTATTTTATTGAAGATTTTTGCATCAATATTCATTAAGAACATTGATCTGTTGTTTTCTTTTCTTGTAGCACTTTTCATTTTGGTATCAAGGTTATGCTGTTCTTATGAGTTTGAAAGTGTTCCCTTCTCTCTGACATTTTGGAAGAGTATGGGAAGGATTAACATTAATTCTTTAAATATTTGGTAGAATTCTCCAGTGAAGATATTTGGTCCTGGGCCTTTCTTTGTTGGAGGTTTTTGGTTAGTGATTCGATTTCTTTACAAGCTATAGGTCTGTTCAGATATTTTATTCTTCATGAGTTAGTCTTGGTATGTTGTATGTGTCTATGCATGTATCAATTTCTTCTAGCTCATCCAATTTACTGGTATATAATTGTTTATAGTAGTCTCTTATGATCTTTTTTATTTCTGTGGCATCAGTTATATCTCTTCTCATTTATGATTTTTGTTATTTAATCTTTACTTTTCTTCTTAGTCTGAGAATTTGTAAATTTTGTTCATCTTTAATTTAAAACAACTATTTGTTTTATTGATTTTTCTCTATTGCTTTTTTATTCTCCTGCTTATTTATTTCTGCTTTAATCTTTATTATTTTCTTCCTTATAATAACTTTGTATGTAATTTTTTTTTCTGTTTCTAATCACTTGAAGTATAAAGGTAAGTTGTTGACTTGAAATCTTTCTTATTAATGTAGGTTTTTACTGCTGTAAACTTTCCACAGTACTGCTTTTGTTGCATACCATGTTTTTATATGTTGTATTATAATTTTCATTTATCTTAAAGCATTTCTAATTTCCCTTTTTTTTTTTTTTTTTTTCCAGATAGAGTCTCACTCTGTTGCCCAGGCTGAAGTACAGTGGCATGATCTCAGCTCACTGCAATCTCCACCTCCTGGGTTCAAGTGATTCTTCTGTCTTGGCCTCCCATGTAGTTGGGATTACAGGCACTAGCCATCATGCCCGGCTAATTTTTGTATTTTTAGTAGAGACAGGGTTTCACCATGTTTGGCAGGCTGGTCTCGAACTCCTGACCTCAAGTGATCCACCCGCTTCGGCCTCCCAAAGTGCTGGGATTACAGGTGTGAGCCATAGTGCAATCTCTAATTTCCATTGTGATTTCTTCTTTGACCTGCTTGTTGTTCAAGAGTGTGTTGTTTAATTTTCACACATTTGTAAAATTTTCAGTTTTCCTTTTGCTGTTGATTTCTAGTTTTATTTTATTGTGCCCAGAAAAAAAAAAAAAATACTTGGTATGATTTCTATCTTCTTAAATTTGCTAAGACTCGTTTTGTGGCTTAACACGTGTTCTATACTGGAGAATGTTGCATGTATGCTTGAGAGGAATGTGTTCTGCTCTTGTTGAGTGAAACATTCCCTATATGTATGCTAGGTCTAACTGGTCTATAGTGTTCAAGTCTGGCTTCCTATTAATTTTCCGTCTGGTTATTTTATTTATTATTGAAAACTGAGTATTGAAATCAACTATTTTTTTTTACTATCTATTTCTTTCAATTCGGTCAATATTTGCTTCTTTGGATACTTTGTTGTTAGCTGCAGACATATTTACAATTGTTTCATCTTCCTGGTGAATCTACAGTTTTGTCATTATATAATGTCCTTTTTATTTTTCCTGTGACAAATTTTGACTTTAAATCTATTTTGTTTGATATAAGCATGGTCACTTCTGGTCTCTTTTGGTTATCATTTGCATGAAATATATTTTCTAAACTTTTCACTTTCAGGCTATGTGTGCCCTAACATCTAAAGTGAATCTCTTGTAGAAAACATAGAGTTTGATCTCATTTTTGTACCCATTCAGTCACTGTATGTTTTTTGATTGGGCAATTTAATCTATTTACATTTAAAGTTAATAATGATGGAAAAGGACTTACTATTGCCATTTTGTTAATTGTTTTATTCTGTCTTGTATTTATTTTTATTCCTCTCTCTTCCTCTCTTGCTGCCTTCCTTTGTTCTTTTTTGGTGGCAAACTTGATTCCACTCTCAGTTTCCTTTGTATATCTTCTTTTTTTTTTCTTTTTTTTTTTTTTTTTTTTTTTTTTTTTTTTTTTTTTTTTTTTTTTTGAGGCGGAGTCTCGCTCTGTCGCCCAGGCTGGGGTGCAGTGGCCAGATCTCGGCTCACTGCAAGCTCCGCCTCCCGGGTTCCCGCCATTCTCCTGCCTCAGCCTCCCG